TTCTGGCAGACCTCAGGCAGCTGGCAGCCGCATTCCTGACAGAAACCCAGACCCTTCGGAACCCGCGAGATGGAGACGTTTGTGTCATGCGTTTCGTGCTTCTCCATGTAAGGCTCCGCAGTCCCAGACGACTCTGCGCCAGCAGCGAGGGAAGCAACAATCCCCGCCAGGGCGGCTGCTCGCGCTGGCCCCGACTCTTACGTGCCCTGACTGCCAGAAGGAATGCCGCGGCCCAAAGACTTGGCAGCCCATAGGGGGCACGCGCACGGCATACAAATCCTCGCGCGCTATCACACCCTTGGCACGACAAACCCAGCTTGCCCAACGGACTTTCCCTCGCGCGCTCCACCACCTCCAATTTGCCAGCAAGCAGTGCAGGGCCAAGATGATCCAGGGAGATCTTCCGGCATTTTCCGCCTCCCAGGTCGCCGAAGCCGACAGGGCCGACGCGGTGTCCAATCGCGGCCGCACGGCGCGGGGCGAAACGCGCATGCGCGCCCTGCGCCTGCCGCGCCCCGCAGGTGAGTCGTTGCCCCCCGGCGATCCGACAAGGGGAGCAGCCGCCTAGCCTCCCCCCAACAGCGGCAGGCAACTCCAGGACTTCTCTGAGAATTCCTGTCCTTGCCTGCCGATCAAGGGAAGGTTTCATACAGTCGGGGCCTTGACCTGAGGAACCCCAAATAAGGAACGAGGCCCCCTTCTCTCCATAAGTTTTAACCTTCGATCTGCGATCGAGAGCAGGAGGAAAACCCGAGGCAAGCTGTGAAACACTTGAGGAACACCGAGCCCCTCCCCAACGAAAAGGGTTCCTTCCTCAGGGCCCCGCCTGTACACCCTACGAAATGCTTAAGAAATCATGGGTTAAGAAATTCATAGTCTCAGAAACCCAACATTTCTATTAAAATCCTGGGATTTACATTGAAACATTAAGAATAATCGAGACTCTGGTCGAAATCTTAAGTTTTCTTAAGCATCACCTAAGGTGTAATCCCCCAGCGCCGCCTGCCAGCACCTCCATCTCTGGCGCGCCCTCGGCGGGCGCCCGCGGCACCGCCCGCAGCGGGCCTCCCGTGTGTTGCTTCCGTGCATGGCCGGAGCCGCTCCACGTCGGTCGGCCTCCCGCAGAGGGCATCGAAGGCTTTCCGCCCACGCGGTGGCGTTTTCCCTTCGGACTGCGCCTGCTCAGCTGGCCAGCGCGAGCTGCAGGCCTCGCACTGCGCCGCCAGCGATCTCGCACACGTGCTCCAGGTTCGCCTACAGCCAGCACGGATCAAATGCTCAGCATCATCATCATCATCATCATCAGCAGCAGCAGCAGCAGCATCAGCATCATCATCATCATCATCATCATCATCATCATCATCATCATCATCATCATCAGGATCATCATCAGCAGAATCATCATCATTATCATCATCGTTACCATCCTCATCCTCATCCTCATCCTCCTCATCATCATCGAAATCATCACCACCACCACACTTATCATCATAAGCAGCAGTGTCAGTATCATCACCCTCAGCAACCTCATCATCCTAATCGTCACCATCAGCATCACCATCATCACCATCATCGTCATCAAAATAATCACAATCGCCAACACCACCATCAATATCATCACCAACATCATCACCATAAACACCAACATTACCATCAACATCATCATCCAGATCAGCATAACCGTCATCATAGTCATCATCATCAACATCATCCGCATCAACATCCCCCTCTCCCTCCTCCTCCTCCTCCTCCTCTTCCTCCTCCTCCTCCTCCTCCTCCTCCTCCTCCTCCTCCTCCTCCTCCATCTCCTCCCTCGCGCTCCCTTTCCACCTCTCTCATCCTCTTCCAGCGCTCTGGGGTGCGCGCGGGCGGACCTCTTCCGTCCCCCCCCCAAGGAGGGGGGATACAGCCGTGGCGACGAGAAACCTCTGCGAGGCCCACAGAAGGCCTCAGAACATCCAGAGACACCGAACCCCGATCCTCCCCCCTCCCATCCCCGTCCTTCCTCCCCCTCCAACATGTCATGCTCTCCTCCTCCTCCTCCTCCTCCTCCCTCGCGCTCCCTTTCCCCCTCCCTCATCCTGTTCGCGCGCTCCAGGGTGCGCGCGCAAGGGCGGACCTCCTCCTTCTCCCACCCTAAGGAGGGGGGATACAGCCGTGGCGACGAGAAACCTCTACGAGGCCCACGAAAGGCGTCAGAACATGCAGGGACACGGAACCCCGATCCTCCCCCCTCCCATCCCCGTCCTTCCTCCCCCTCCAACATGTCATGCTCTTCCTCCTCCTCCTCCTCCTCCTCCTCCTCCTTTTCCTCCTCCTCCTCCTCTTCCTCCTGGTTCTCCTCCTCCTCCTCCTCCTCCTCCTCCTCCTTCCTCGATGCAGCGGACAGATCTGCGCTGGGCACTGGAGCCCTCGTCGTTATCCTCCTCCCCATCCTCCTTCAACTCATCATCATCATCCTCCTGTTCCTGCTCCTGGTCCCCCCCTCCCTCCCTCCCTCCCTCCCTCTCGCTCTTGCCCGCCTCCAAGTCCCCCACCCTCCCCTTACTGACCCCCCCTCCTCCCTCCTGTTCCCCTCGTCCTCTCCGTTTTGTCCTCCCTAACCCTCCCCTCCCCTCTATCACCCCCTCTTCCTCCTCCTCTCCCCTCTCCTCCTCCTCCTCTCCTCCTCCTCCTCCACCTCCTCCTCATACGCCTGCTCCTCCTTCGCCTCCCCCTGTTTCTGCTGCTCCTCCTCCCCCTTCCCCACCATCTCCCCTGCACCTTCTCCTTGCCTTCCTCCTCCTCCTCCTCGTCGCTGTCGTCGTCGTCGTCGTCCTCCTCCCCCCCTCTCCTCCTCCTCCTCCTTTTCCTCCTCCTCCTCCTGTTCTTCTTCTCATTGCTCGATGCAGCGGGCAGGTCTGTGCTGAGCACTGGAGGACTCGTCGTTATCCTCTTGCTCCTCCTGCTCGTCCTCCTGCTTTTCTTCCTCCTCCTCCTCCAACTCCTCCTCCTCCTCCACTCCTACTCCTGATCCCTCCCTCCCTCCCACCCTGCCTCTCGCCCTTGCCCGCCTCCGATTCAACCTCCCTCCCCCCTCCTGGCCCCCCTCCTCTCTCTTCTTCCCCTCGATTGCTCCCTCATGCCCTCCGTTCCCCTCCCCTCCTCCATCCACCACCCTCCTCCTCCTCCTCCTCCTCCTCCTCCTCGTTCTCCTCCTCCTCCATTTCATTTTTACGTTAAACCAACCATAAGAAGTTCCTGTGGCGTTCTTGGTGTGGATAGAGAAACACGAGAGTGTACGATTCGGCACAAGATGTACCTGGTGGGCGCCGCGGCACAGGAAGGAAGGATAGGCCAAGACGATACGAATAAAAGGAGTGGGCGCCCGCCAGGTACCTGAGGCCGGGACTAACCTTAGTATATAAGCCCCCCCAATCAGATCCATACTGTTAAGCCCCTTACTGTTCAGTGGTAGTGCCGCATCGGAAGGCAAGGTGCTGCAAAAGGAAATCTGCGGAGATCGCGAAAAAGCTGTTAGGGAAGCTGGATGTAGAAGCCAGAGGGTTGCTGCCCAGGGTTTAAGGTTGACCCCAAACCGGAGGTAAATCCGTCCCAGCCTCCCAACACCCTCCACTGCCAGACTCCATCCGTCTATGTTTCAGTGTATGTGCCATCTGGTGGCACACTAAACCCTGTAACGAGAAAGCAGCTGGCTGTAACAATCTTTGGGTTGCTGCCCAGGGCTCTGCTGCACCCCAATCCGTGGTGGAGAGAGGGGCGCGTGTGATTTATGAAGGTTGAACACCAAGGAGGAAAGACGGATGAGCGCATTTCTGTAAAAGGCACCTGTGCCACGCGCACGGTTCTTGCGTCGTCGCCCAAGGTTTTTCGGTTCACCCCAAGCCTCCTTGGTCCCAGGGCCTCCGTGCCGTTTGCTTGTATGTTCCGGGTTCAGCACGAACCCGCAGTACGCAGGTTTGCTTAACGGCTGACCTGTGAGGCTTGCCTGTCTGGCGGGGCTCGCCCTGCCCTGTAGGTTAGGGGTCCCGAATGCAGGCCCTGGGGTATTAGCCAGGATGCCATCACACTGTGCCATGTTCGCTGAGAGCTATATAATGAGCTTGGGCGTGCAGAATACTGCGGCAAATGTGATTGCTGTAGGCTGGCCAGTGTAGGCTGGCCTGTAGTCCTATGATGCGCTATGCTGGCACTTGGCAAGACAGTAGATGAAGTAAAGGCTACATGTGGCACAAGATCTCCTCCCCCTCCCCCTCCTCCTCCTCCTCCTCCTTGCTCTTCCTCCTCCCTCCTCTTGCTCCTCCTCCTCCTCCTCCTCCACCCCTCCTCATCCTTCTCCTCCTCCTCATCTTCCTCCTCTCCTCAACCTCGTCCTCCTCCTCCTCGTTCTCCTCCTCCTCCTCCTCATCCTTCGTCTCATCCTTATCCTCCTCCTCCTCAACATCATCATGGTCAGCAGCAGCATCAGTATCAGCATAATCAGCATCATCAGCATCAGCACCAGCATGATCAGCAGCAACATCATCAGAATCATCAGCATTCGCACCATTATCATCAGCGGCATCAGCATCAGCATCAGCATCAGCATCAGCATCAGCATCATCAACAACATAATCAGCATCATCAGCATCATCAGTTCCCTCTCCTCCTCCTCATATTCCTCCTCCTCAACATGTCTTCGTCTCCTCCACCCTGCTCCTCTTCCTCCCCCTCCTGCTCCTCCTCCTCTTCCTTTTCCTCCTCCTCCTCCGTCTTCTCATCCTCATCCTCCTCCCCCAACACCTGCTCCTCCTCCTCCTCCTCCTCCTCCTCCTCCTCTCCTCCTCTCCTCCTCTCCTCCTCACCCTCCTCACCCTCCTCACGCCTCCACCTCCACCTCCTCCTCCTCCTCCTCCTCCTCCTCCTCCTCCTCCTCCTCCTGCTCCCCTCCTCACCTTCCTCACCCCGCATCCCCCTCGTCCTCCCTCCTCGTCCCCCCCCTGGGGCGAGGCGGAGTACTCCTCCAGCTGCACGCCCCAGGCGGCCGCTTCGCGGCCGATCCTGGCGTGCAGCTCGGCCACGCGCGCCGTGCGTTCCTCCCGCTCCTTGCGGGCGGGACGGCCTCCCCCCCGTGCGAGACTGAGGGAGGGAGGGAGGGAGGGAAGGAACGGAGGGAGGGAGACGGATGGAGAGAAGGGAGTGAAGAAAGAGGGGGAACCTCCCCCGGGGAGGGGAGGACGGGAAGGAGGGGAGGGGAGGGGAGGGGAGGGGAGGGGAAGGGAGGGGAGGGGAGGGGAGGAGGGAGGAGGGAGGAGATGAGGAGACGAGGGGCGTGCGATGCTTGTCGCGCTGGTCGGCTCCAGGCGGGTGGCGCGAATAGAAGGGGGGGAGGCAGGGAGAAGGGAAAGGGGGCGGGATGCTGAGGAGGAGGAGGAGGAGGAGGGGGAGGAGGAGGAGACGAGGGGGGAGGGGGGAGGAGGGGGGGGAGGAGGAGGAGGAGGAGGAGGAGGAGGAGGAGGAGGAGAGAGGAAGGAGGAGCAGGAGGGAGAAGGGAGGAGGGAGGGGGAAGGAGAGGAGGAGAGGAGGAGGGGGAGGGAAGGAGAGGAGAGGATATATAGACAGAAGGAGCGAGAGAGAGAGAGAGAGAGAGAGAATAACGGAAGAAGAGGAGGAGGGGAGGGGAGGGGAGGGGAGAGGAGGGGAGGGGAGGGGAGAGGAGATGAGAGGAGATGAGAGAAGAGGAAATGAGAGAAGAGGAGAGGAGAGGCGAGGAGAGGAGATGAGAGAGGGGGAGGAGAGGAGGAGGAGGAGGAATAGGAGGTGGTGGTGGTGGTGGAACGATCTCGGGCCGAGCGTCAGAGTGACCACAGAGCAGCATTCACCAGGGGGATTCTGCCATGTGCGACCTATCGTGCGCAAGAGATGCGACTAAACAACGCCCCCCCCCCCCCCCAGACAGGCGGGAGCCCCGAATTGTCTTCGCTCGACCGCCGTTCACGGCGAGCAGACTGAGCGAATTGTTTCACGCTGCGGCCCAGGGATCCAGACCAAACGCGTCCCTGACAGCGTACCCCGAACAAATCGGGAGACACACAGGATTATAACCAGGAGAGCTAAAAACGTGCGGCGTAGGCCACGAGGTCTTTGAAGGAGGGACGAGAAGGTAAAGGAGGCCTCGGAGGAGGAGGAGGAGGAGGGGGACAAGCGACGGCAGCAGCGGCTCGGGCATCCTGCAGGGCGGTCACGGCACCCACAGCCTCAGTCGACGTGGAGGCCGACACCCTCACCGTCGCAGAACCCCCCCTCAGTGGCATCTGCAATCTAGAACTGGTAACTCTCGAACCCGACGCAGCAACCCTCGCACCTGGAGTAGCTGACATCGATCTCACCCTGGCCATCTGTGTACTCCAGCTGGCCCCCTGTGTCCCCGAACCTGGTATCTGCGAACAAGAGCTGGCTCTTGGCAGCGTCCTTGTAGCAGCCTCCAGTAGATACTCCACGGTGCCCTCACCGTGCTGTTGAAAAGAAGGCGCCGAACACGACACGATTCCCATCTCGTCCTGCCGACTGCGTTCAGACACCATTTGTGCACTAACACCTGGTGGCGACGGAGCCCGATGCGCCCTCGAGGAGCAGGCGATCGGGACTTGCGATCTGACGCCCGCTGTGGAAGCCATGACTCGCGTTCTAACTCCACGTGGCGACTGAGCCCGACACGCCTTCGAGGAGCAGGCGGACGGGACTTGCGATCTGACGCCCTGGGAGGATGCCATGGCTTGCGTTCTGACGCCTCGTGACGACTGAGCCCGACTCGCCCTCGAGGGGCAGGCGGACGGGACTTGCGTACTACAGGTCGAACTCGTCCAAGGCTAGCTGCAACACCCTCTCCGTGTGAGATCTCGGAGCCATTCCAGGCCTCAGGGTCGCCCCCATCTGGATGAGGCAATTCTGGAGCGACCGCTGCATGTTGTGATCGGACAGGCTGGGGACGATCTTCGCGAGCCCCTCCTTGAACGCCGAGCTGGCCCGAAAGCCTTTGACCAACATCGTGAGATCGTCCATCGACGAGATACTGTCGAGGCGATCCTGCTGCTCCTTCCACGTCTTGGCGTTGGCCATGCCGACGCGCTCGCCCATCGCTGTCACCTTCTTCGCCACTACCAGGAAGACCTGTACACATGCTGGCCCCATGATGATCTCGGGCGGCTGCTTGTTCTGCGGGTCCTGGTCGAACTCGTCGCGCATCCTGGCCGCCTCCGTGGCGCATGCTCGTCCCGCCTGGAAACCACTCTGAATCACCTCGGCCTGCTCGTCCATCGTCATGGTGACGAACTCTGCCGCCATCAGCATTCTCAGGTTGAAAGAGTTGCCCAGCACGGCTCGCATGATCACTGGCATCAGCCGCGCACGTAGATTCATGTCCATGGCTGGCAGCTTCTCGAGAGCGTCGGCGGAGAGTCCGTACGTCTGGCCCATCTGCATACGAGCGTCGTCGCGAGCTCCTCCACCGCGTCCCGCTCCTGCCCCGCCGTGCCTGCCGAGCCCGCCGCGGCCCCCTGGAGGCGAGGCAGGTGCCTTGGCGAGCTGCGCGGCACTCGGGGCGCCCTCGCCCGCAGGCGCCGTGCTGCGCTGCTGGTGCCTGGCACCGCCACGCGGGCGGGAACCTTGCGCCGCCGAGCCAGAGCGGCCCCTGCGCGCTCCCTTGTGCTGAACTCCGTGCGATCGGGAGCGATGGGCCGCCGCCTCGAGCACCTCCGTCCCCAGGCGGTACATCGATCTCACGCTGAGTAAGTGGAGCCCTCGGAGAGTGCCGACAAAGATGGCGATAAAGTTGCTCTCGGTCCTCAAACGGCTCCGAATGAAAACAGCAGTATTCGTGAGCCCATGCATCATGACCACCAAAGTGAGCACCCCGTGCGAGGTCAGCAAGAGGACAGAAGAAACTCTCAGGGTCCTGGACAGCGTGGAAGAAGGGCGTGACATTCGGGGGGCACCGACCACGAATCACTGCCTGCACCGCATGCTCCTGAGCAATCCGACGAGTGCGAAAGCTTTGACGACAGAATATGCACTCGTTCGTGACGATGATGGTGTGCATTCTAGATCTGCAAGAGTGCCCCCCTCCCTTCGCAAAGCGCTGATGTGCAAGCAGCGCTCTCTTCGTATTGAAGGCCCTCCCGCAGGTCGTCCCGTCGTCGTTCAGAAGGTCGCACGTCCATGTCGCAACCGGTGGTGGGGGCACCTCCAGAGCACCTTCAAGAACCTCAGGAGGAGGCCCGTAGAGCCCAACAGGAGGCGGTATAGCAACGGTCTTGGTTTCAGCCCGTAGAAGTCCAGGATCGAGCGCCAGAAATTGTTCCCGGAGATCCCCGTCCATGAAGAGGGCCCGCACGCAGAGTCTCATATGGGGCTCATCCGAGGGACCCGTAAACAGCCATGACTCAAGCAACTCGGCCTCGGACCGCTGGACCAAGATAAGGATGTCCGACGCGAAGCGTATGGCGTATGCGTTCGCGTGCTCGTGCAAGAAGCCCTGTGCACACAGTGTGGGATGAGCATCGAGCGGTAACTGACCAAAGATCGCCCCAATTTCCTGTGGATGCCGTTCGGGGTGTCTGATCCACCTCTGATACTGACGCAGCCGTCTCACACAGAGCTCAACTCGGGCAGGTGCGACTCCGACACGACGAAAGACCACGGCGTCAGAGAGAGCTCGATATCGAACGACTGCCTTACCTTGTTCATCCAAAACCACCTGGCCCTCCTCATCCTTCACCTCCACCTTCAGGCACGCATCTCCTCCGAGGATTTTCCGAGCGAAGCCGATCAGCACACGGTCGAGGCGCAGCTCCTGAGCCTCCGACAGGACAAGCGTGGTCAAGCCCGACAAGAGGGCCCCCTGGACGATGGCGCCAAAAACGATGCGGGTAAATCGCCAGACTCGATTTTTTGCCCAGAACCTCCCCATCGAGTAGTAACCTCTCCGACATGCCAGGATACGACGCTGAAGCTCTCCCTGTACTCCTCCATTCACCGACGTTTGAATACCTAACGCAATGTTGTCGAACTGGGCCTGGCCTGGCAGACGAATAGTACCCCCGAACACCGCAGCATTGTACTCTTTCGACCGAGGACCCACAAAGGAGGGAGAGACGCAACTTTTCCCAGCATTGTGAGAATATCCTTCCGTCGATAACGAAGCACTCAAGTGTACATGTGACTGTTCGAGTGTGAACAACGCATTCTTGGCCGACGAGACGATGTGCGTCTTGTTCGCGTCGTCCGCGTAGATCCGCGTCGACAGGTCCACGGGGCGCTGGAGTATAGGAACCCAGGCCGTGCACAGCGCCTCGCTAGGCCACAGCGCACGATCAGGATCAGCAGGCGGCGACGGCGGCACAATCTCCTGGTCGACCCACTCGGCGTGAGTCTCAGGACGGGCAGGAGGCCGCCCATGCCAAGTCTGAGCTCGAAGAAGATCCAGCCACCGCTGCACGGGATGCCGAAAGGTGCGCGCGAAGAAGACCGCCGCGGGCGTGTCGCCCATGAAGGCCCCGCACAGGTTGTGCATCGCCTGCTCCCCGTCGACCCCGCAGATGGTGAAGGTGCTCGTCTCGTGCCGCTGGTTGAAGTAGCACTGCGAGTCAGGCTGAATGGAGGATGAGACAGTTGACCGAAGAGCAGGAAACGTAGAGCAGCCAAAGGCGTTAGCCATATCCTCCTTGGACGTGACCGTCGAGACTCCCAGCAGACGAAGTCGAGCCAACAGCACCTCCTGACAAATAAGTGCGCCCTCCCTGCTACGACCCATGTGATATCCATGCTCACGATCGGGCACATCATCATGGAAGCCTCTGGTCAACTGCGCCTTGTACCACAGCGCTCCCATGCGACACAATCCGTGAGTGTAGCGTCGTGCATCGAAGCCCTCCTTATTGTTGTGTTTGTCTAAGCCCGTCGCGCGAGAGTGATGCCACACCACAGGCGTCCGCTGCACACGCCGAATATGATGAAATACTTTCTGCAAAGCTTTCGCACTTAGCTCATTTGAGATCACCGTCGCCTCCGTGCCTAGCCCACTCCTGTCACCAGCTCGCCTATGACGAGGGACAAAATCAGCTCGCGGTCCAGGATCCTCAACTTCGTCTCCGTCGTCGTTTCGAGCCAGGCGTGGTTTCCGATACGTGCCGTCGAACTTCCGATTCGGATCTAGCACCAGCATGAGGATCTCCGACGGGACCGAATGTAGGGGCGCCGCCTTCCTGCGAGGGGCCTCCGCAGCAAGCTCGGTCACCACAGCCAGATCATCGCGACCCTGCTCGACGTGCAAGAAGTTGTCGCTGCCGAAGGATGCGGGCGGCGGCAGATCCTCAAGTATCCGAGCCTGGTAATCAGCAAAGTCCACAGGCACCGCAGAGAAACCCCCAGCATGTCCAGGGCCACTGAAGTGCGTACGAATCTCATCCGTCCTGGGCGCATAAGTCTCAGCAACATTAAAACGCCTACGCCGAGGTCCAGAACAACGCCCTGCAAGCTCATGCGCTAGCTTCCATACCTCAGCATGCTGTCTAGCACCCCAGGCAGCACTGAGTTCATCAATCAGCTGTTCAGTCACTTCATCCTGATGCGCTCGTCGAAGGTGTCGCAGCTTCTTGCTGCACCGTGCCAGCTCCAGACTCGATTCCAGTTCGCCCGTGCAGTGCTCTCGAGCATGCCGCCGCTCCCGAAGTAAACGACTGCGAGCCTGCTGATATTCAATTACCGTCGGACTCCGAGTCGCCTGTTTGGAGAAATGACGCTCAGCAACAGCATATATCGTAGTGATCCACTCCTGCCAGGCATCATCGGGCGCACTCGCATGAAGAAGCAATGTATGATAATCAGGGGCCGCACCGAACTGAGCTTCAACGTCCGCGAGGAAGTCCGCAACACCAACTCCTTTCCGAAGAGCACTCGCCAATCTGTCAAAGTCCCATCTCGTGGTAGCCTTTCGTGCCGAGCTGAAATCGAATTCATATTGAAACTTGACCAGGATAGGTACATGATCTGATAACCCCTTTCGACTGCACAACTTGAGACGAAGATTGGTGCGCTTCATCGACCCGCAATAGGTGATCGTCGGCATCTGCCAGCTGAAGACGGCAACGTGGTCGATACTGCTCGAGCCGTGGGCGCCGTAGAAGGTATCCCCGATGTTGTAGCACGTCGTCGCGATGGCCACAGTGTGCTTTTCGCAGAGCTCGAGCATCTGGTCTGCCGCATAGTGCTGCTCTTCGCGGGCGTAGGACCCCAACGAGCCAGAACGAACCCAATCGATGATGCCCCCTTGTCTCCGTCTCCAGCCAAACGAATCATTCAAGTCGAACCCCATCATCAAAGCCGATGTTTTTTCGACCAAGTGAAAGTTTTTTCAAGCCATTGTATGAGAAGATCCACCGTCGCACGATATCTAGCCTGAGCCGTAGCCGCCGCCGCTGCCTGCACGTGGGACTCGCGCCCCTCGCGCCTCGCACTCGGACGGGGCGGGAAGTACAAGATGGGAATGAGAACATCGAATCGGCCAGACCGCAGACGAAACACAGCAGCACGTCCCTGCAGAGCAGCTGGAACACTAGGCACATCATACACGTCGCGTTGCTTGAACACCCTCTTCCTCAGCAGCAACGCTATACCACAAGATTTGTTGACATGGCGCCCAGCTAAGTATCCGCACCGTACCACGAAGTGGTGCTTCAGGTTCGAGAACGTGGCCGAGCGATCAGGTGTCGCTCGTTCCCCAGTGCTTGTGACTGCCACCACATCAGTGTATTTGAACTCCTCCGAGGAGGTCATGCAAGCGCTCGATATCTGCATACTGCGCGTTCCAGTGAACAAACGTGAACATGCCGAGAGCCACTCTCACCCCGCACAGCAGCACAAGAGACAAGACCATCATGTGTGCATGGTGTAAGAGTGAGCAACGGCGGCCTGTGGGGGGGGGGGGCCTGCCGTAGCGACTGATGTCTACGGCGGACGCGGAGCCCTCCAGCCCCTGGAGCTGCAACTCCTGAGCAGAGGGGGCTAGGAATAGGAGGAGGAGGAGGAGGAGGAGGAGGAGGAGGAGGAGGAGGAGGAGAGGAGGAAGAGGAGGCGGAGGAGAAAGGCAGGAGGACGAACATGGATGATGCTGATGATGTTGATGATGCTGCTGATGATGATGAGGAGGATGATGCTGATGATGATGTTTATGCTGCTGCTGTTGGTGATGATGATTATGCTGCTGATGATGATGGTGAGGATGCTGATGATGCTGATGATGATGATGATGATGCTGATGATGATAATGATCAGAAGGGAGAGGAGGAGGCGGACAAGGGAGGAAGGGGGGGAGGGAGGAGGGAGGAAGGAGGAGGCAGGATGTAGGAGGAAGGAGGGAAGGGGGTAGAAGGCAGGAGGCAGGAGGCAGGAGGGAGGAGGGAGGAGGGAGGCGGGAGGAGGGAGGAGGAGAAGGTTGGAGGAGGAGGAGGAGGAGAGGGAAACATAATGCTGATACTGCTGATGATAATGCTGAAGATGATGACGATGATGCTGATGATGGTACGGATGATGATACTGACGATGATGATGAGGATGATGATGATGATAATTATCGTTATGAATATGATGATGCGTATGATGATGATGCTGATGATAGAAATGAGGATGCTGACGATGACGATGACGCTGCTGCTGATGCTGATGCTGCTGCTGCTGCTGATGCTGATGAGGATAAGCTCATGATGCTGCTGATGATGATGAGGAGGAGGAGGAGGAGGAGGAGGACGAGGAGGAGGAGGAGGAGGGCGGAGGGGAGAAGGAGGAGGAGGAGGAGAGGAGGAGGAGGAGGGGAGGGAGGAGGAGGAGGAGAGGAGGGAGGAGGAGGGGAGGAGGAGGAGGAGGAGTGAGGAGGGGAGGAGGAGGAGGGCGAGGAGGAGGAGGAGGAGGAGGAGGAGGAGGAGGAGGAGGAGGAGGAGGGAGGAGGAGAGAGGATCGGGACGCTTGCGCACCGCGGGGCTTCGCGAGCGCGTGCTCGTGTTTGCATTGGCGGGCCCCAGGATCAGGGATCAGGCCGAGGCGCAACATCCGATTCGGATATATAGAAGGGCCTGCGGGCAAGGGGAGAAGGGGTGGAGGGCGCGGGGATTCACGCCCTCCCGCCCCAAAAGCCCCCTCCCCCACGGGCCCCTACAGGTTTTCTCCACTGCGGGCAGCGCCCTCCTCTTGAATGTCGAGCGCCCGGTGGGCCTGCCACGCGGCCGGGACCCTCGAGTTTGTGTAGAGGCGCCTCGCCGCCCAGCCTCCCCGCCAGGAAGCGCAGATAAGCAGACAAATCCGCACCCTGTCGGCGGACGACCCGCAACAGCCTCAGGCAGTCCGCGATGGGGGACGCCACGAGGGGAGCGACCACGACGGGGAGCCACAGAGGGGTTCACGATGGAGGGCCACGAGGCATCCTCGTCCTGCGGACCCTGTTACTCCTCTTCAACCCAACCCTCCTGGCGCCCTCTGATGTTGCTGCCGCTCCGTCTCCTCATCATCCTCGTGATCCTCACCATGCTCGTGCTGATCCTTGCGCCACCCTTGTTCATTTTCTCATGCTACTACTCCTCCCCCTACTCTTTCTCATCTGCGTCGTCCTCGCCACCTATGTACTACTCCTCCTCACGCCCTTCCTCCTACGTACCTGAAGCAGTCGCCTTCCCTCCTCCATTCTTCACCACTCCTCCCTCTCCCATCCACTCCGTCAAAGACATCCCCCTGGACTTCTCCAGGGCTGCATTTCGGCGAGTGCCTCAGAAGGGACTGTAGCAGCGGCGACCAGGGCTCGCCAGGGTCCCCAAGAAGGGCGATGAACGTCCTCGAACCTCGATCCTCACATTTCGAAACCAGCTCAGATTCTGTCCGCGAACCCTTCCTGGGGCTCTCCCTGGAACCCGCATCCACCCCAGATCGATTAGTTGACGGTCCCGGGGGCCCAGAGCGTGCCCCCTTGGATCCCGCGGGGAGCCGCCCCGATGCTCCGACGTGTCGGAAGCCTCTGCTCGATGCATCCGGGGGCCTCTGCTCCCATCCCGGAGGCCTCTGCTCGGCATGCCGGCCCCGAGGCCACGACGTCGAGCACCGCCCCCCCCCCCCTGGATGGAAGTAGCGCTGATCCAATCACTCACTTGGCAATGACAGGATGATCAGATACCAACTTCGACACTTATGCTACTTTCCCCTGCGGCACGGCTGGAGTGTAGACGTTTGAACGCCGCCTGCTGCTAGCGACTCCGTGCAATACAGCCGCACTGGGCTTGGGCACCCCCCCCCCCCCCGCCCCCGACAGCCCAGGGCCCCTCGGCTCCCCGGCCAGCTCGAGGCCCCCGTCGTCGCCGCCGGCGGCCGGGGGCCCGGCGCCCGCGCCGCTGGCGGGCGGTGCCGCCTCCGGCGGCGCCCTCCCGGCGGGCCCCTGCGTGACCAGGGAGCTCATGGTGGCGGCGGCCTCCTGCATGGCCTGGCGGCGGCGGGCGCCTGCTCTTCCTCCCTCCCTCCCTATGAGTGCCTCCCTCCTCCCCCCCTCCCTCCCTCACCCACTTCTCCCCCTTCCTCCCTCCCTGCTCCTCCTCTCCTCCTCCTCCTCCCTCTCCTTCCTCCTCCTCCTCCTCCTCCTCCTCTTCCTCTTCCTCCTCCTCCTCCTCCTCATTTTCCTCCTCCTTTTCCTCCTCCTGTTCCTCCTCCTCCTCCTCCTTCCTTTCAACCTCTGCCCCTTGGTGCAGTTCTCTTCCTGATCGGATCGCGGTCGTTTGGGTGAACGCCCCCCTCAGCCCAAGGATAAAGTAGGAATGTTTGCGCACTTGCTGCGTATGATTGCACGGTTTGACCATGCTTGGGCCTCGGGGACCCTCCAGGGACGTCTAAAAATACGTCCAGGGATCAGGACCAGCGGCGGCACTCGAGCTTCCCCCCCTCCCTCCTCACTTTCCCTGTCCGCATGCCCCTCCTCCACTTTCCCCTTCTTCT